GCAGCAATTCTTACTGTTAGAACTTGAAAATTAGAAGAACACTGAGACCAACTCCCAAAGCTGGTTTCTCCTCACTTCAGAACAAAAGCAGGAAAGTTAGTAGAAATAACCACCAACTCCAAGCTATATACTGGAAAGAGATGGAAATCTCAATAAGTCGTTCTTTTCTTAAAATTAGTGCATTTCTTCTCTAATTGAGGAGGAAATTGAGACACTTTGCCAATGAAACATGACAATTTATATTTAAAAGAAGAAAAATGTAATTGCATTGTCTTATTTCAGGTGCACATTTTCTAATTATCTTGTTTTTAAGAGTAAAAAAACTCCATTGGCAAATTATCTTATTTACCTGTTCAAATTCAGGGTAAATAAACTTAATTTAAGAGATTTTTATTTATTTCTGGATCGTTCTTGCAGTGTGACAGTGATGGTTAATGAGGCACCTTGAAGCCAAACTCTATTGATACTGTCTCACAGAATACTGACACCTGCTGGACATTTAAAGACACTACAGGGAGCTGATTGGACAGACTAAACTGAATCGATTTGATTACTTAGTACAATGGAATCATTTAAGTTGTAGGTTATATTGTATTATTTCATATCTATGTTTAAATTGAAAATATCTTTGATATTTTTGGAAATGTTTTTATTTTGTAAAGTTGTATTTTTTTTCCCCCATGGATCATAGAGTGTCAGGAGGCAGAGATGGATCTATTGCTTGTTTTTTTTCATCCTCAGCATTGGATGATGATAATTTTTCATCCAGTCTCCTTAGTCAAAAGAAAGGAAAACAAAGAAGCATCAAGCATGTCAACAAGTGCTAAGAACAACAAAGTTTGGTCAAGAAATAACAGAGTTCAAAATGATTAAAACCATAAATCTTTTTTTGAGCTAAAAACTTATGGAGGAGGAGCACTGATCTCTATTCATTCACTGGATTGCTGATTGCACGGGATTGAAGGGAAGCAGCCGGCCGCCATATTGGTACTCCCTAGTAAGACCGGTCACAATGCAAACAATACTTGCACTACAGCATCGAACAAAGATGATGTTCTCATTTTCAGGGGGACTTTTTAAAAACAAAGATAATTTCATCACTTTGACACAGACTGGCTGTTTCATAGCGTAAGCAGATTACTTTAACAAAAAAAAGTAGGCCAGTCACATTGCAGAGTCATTATCAAGTCAATGAAGTCTATAAATCCTGTAATATAACATATTATACAAATCCATCATAATAAAATGAATGTGTTGATGGAGCAAAAATAGTATAGATGCGGCAAAAAGTTCTAAATTGATGATGTATATGTAATATACATGTATTTTAGCAACCATTCTTTTCCCGGGTCGCCACCGGAACGTCTAAACAATGTTTGTTGTTGTTTTTTTATTCAAACCTGCAGCAAAAAGCCAAAGAAGCCACAGCGACGGCAGATGAACAACAGACTGAAGCCTCTGACTCTGGCCTACGATGGAGACGCCGACATGTAGACGTCTTCCTCCTCCCAGACGTACGATCAAAACTTGGAGAGCAGGGTGGCTGTTGGTCCCCGTCTAACGTCAGGGTCCCTGCAGGGCAATGGGTCGGCCAATACGCGGACTGAAAACATAACCTCTGAGCTTAAGACACTTAAGGTCTTATTTATTAGCAGCCTTGATGTTCCTTCGTTTCCATTTTGAAATCTGTACATTGTTTTTTTTACGAGCCTTCATGACCTCTCTATCTTCCTCTGGAAGTCTGCCTTTGCTTCTTCAACGTCTACCAATGACTGCATTTCAACCACATTCATTGGAGAGGGAGAATAAAGAAGAGATTTTAATGTAAAAGCACAAAAACTCCTCATTAGTTGATGATTTTCTTACAGCTTAGCATGGTCTTTGCTCCACTCGTCCCTCAATGATCAATCAGTCTTTTTCTCATCGCTGTAAGGAGGAAATGGAATATAAAAACATAAAAAAAGACCAAATAAAGGAAATGAAAGTGAGTCTAAAGGACCCTGGAGCTGCCATCACTTCTGCCTGCCCCTCCCTTCTTGTTTCCGGGCATAATTTTGCACTATATTAGTGCAGCATGATATGTACTTATGTCTCGCTTTGCCATACGAAAACTGCCTCTCGATACAAGACGCTGTACAACCCTTGTACCAGAAATGTAAAAAAAAAACAGACCTTTTTGCTAACAGAACTGAACAATGTTTGATAACTATTTGTTTTTGTATTACTTCTTGTATGTAATCAAATTTTGTATATAGATTTTCTCTGTGATTTCAGCTTTGGCTTTTTAATACGCATCTTTATCCAAATCTCTGCTGGAACCGTTTGATCTGTTAACTGTGACCTCTGACCCACTGACAGCCAAAAACTCCCACATATAGAGTAAAAACATCACACTTTGACTTGAGTCATAGAGAAATAATCTGTGACATAAACTTCATCAGACAGGGAAGAAAAAAATAGAAGGATTTCCATTTCATGCTGTTTTGTAACCAGATTGGCTTCAGATGCAAACAGAAGGAATGGGAGGAAAAAATAAAGCAAAGGCGGAAACTGATTGAAATCCCAGTAAGTTAAAAATCTGGGAACTCTGCGGTTCTGGAAACTTCCCATCCAGATCTACAGATTTTCAATCATTAATCCAAAATATTCTGATTGCATTCGACAAGACGGGAAAAAACTGATCTGCAAAAAACTAGAAATTTCTCAGAATATGTCTGTTTGCTTATATTTAAGCATATAAATATCAGACACTTAAAATATTATGTAATAGTTTTTCTCATTTTAATTGCAAATCATCTTATTCTGTTGGCAAATTCTTTTATTTACCTTCTTAAATAAATAAAATGAGATAAAGGACCCAGCGTTGACTTTCTAAGGCAGGAGTCGAGCTGATGAGTCTGTTTGAGCTTGAATGGAGGTTTTCTAATGTTTCTTCTCTCTGATTGGTTTTCTGTCGTCAGATCAGCATACCTTTAGTCAATAAGCATGCACAAGACGTCCGATTTGCATTTATCCCTTTAGGTTTGTACGAAAAATAGACTTTAAACTACCTTGATGGCTGAATATACCTTCAGCTATGAACAAAAAACCAAAACAATCTAAGGTCAGATCACCATACGCTTCAAAAAACAACGAAAAGTAAGTAATTAAACTGTTTTTTTGTACATTACTAAGGGGACAGATTCCCGTTGATGTAGTTTAAAGTTAATTGTTCATACAAAACTAAAGGGATAAACAGGTATTGACTCTGGTTCTGCTGGTCTGACCGTATGAAATGCAAATACTTCTAAATTCTTCCCTGAATTTATGGTTTTAATCAGGTTTGTATTTTAGTTTGATTTTTTATGGAGTGAATTTTGTTCCATTATTGTTGCAAACAAACTACATGTGTTGTAAATGTAAAATTGAAAAAACTACAATCCAGAAAGGAAACTTTGAAAAATTATATATATATATATATATATACTTTGAGAGTAACTCTCTGATTTATTTATTTTTTTATTTAGGTTTTATTTTGAAACTTTTTCTTACAGATTTTATATTTTTTGATTTTTTTGTTTTTATTTTACGGGGTTTTTTTTTACATTTATTTTACTTAAATAAATGTAAATGAAGCTCAATATGAAGAATACAAATAAACAAAATGTCATGTCAAACCTGTAAAAAAAAGTTTAAAATTAAACTAAATTCAATTCAATTTTTATTTAAGAAATAAAAAAAATGGCAAAATCTGAGAAAGTGGAAAACTTACTCTGAAAAACGATAATTGCTTGAAACGTTTTTCAAAGTTTCATTCCTGGATTGCATTTTTATTTTAATTTCAATTTACTTAATGGATTCTTTCAAAAGAAAAAATGGTTAAAAAAAAATCCAAACTCCAGTTTTTTCTTTGTCATATAGGTTTGATTTCACATTACTAAAGAGGAAATTTTCTTTTAAAAGAGCAACTGGCTTTACAGGACTCCTGACCCAATGATTTTATACCCATATGCATATTTAAAATGTCACATCCTTTAAAATATCCGTCTTTTTATTGACTGACTGCATTTTAAAGACGTAAAAGTTTACAGTACCCATGAACACAGTGGATAGACGACTGAGGCTCGGTTAGCAGGGTCTGAAAAGGTTGATGTTCCTGAAGGAGTCCCAGTCTTTCTTAATGCAGCTACTTTTTAAAGGTGTTTTACTCTAAAAATAATGTTTGCTATTATGGGTGTATGATGGGTTATTATCATATTTATTGTTTAGAAAATCAGAAATTATTAACTCATTTATTTCATCACATCCTTCAGATTTTATTTTATATTTATTCTCCGTTCAAAAGGACAGTATCCTTAAATTAGTCTTAAATGTAGTTTCTGAAGGTCGTCCCCTGATGCTCACCCCCCCAAGATGAAAGGTTTGGTATTTATTGGATTTAATGAGTCATTTGGAAGCATTTCAATGATCTGTGGAATTTGTTGATTGAATGTTTAACTTATTTTCTCAGCATATGATTTGTAAATAATGTTTTTTTTATATATTTAATCCTATTTATTGTTAATGTACCATAACAGTTCTTTTTTTTTTTTTTTACTGCACGACATGTTTACAAAAAGACAAATGAAAGAAAAAACAGGAGGAGTGAATGTGGTGTAAAAGTGAACAAGCTACCTTGTAAAAAGTTGCTTCTCTGTTTCCTACTGTTTCTTTATATGTATTTGATTAACTGCTGATAATAAACAACGATAATTCTTCTCTTATCTCTGAGGTGGATTCAGTCAAACATAAGTTATTCATTTTATGGCTGGTTTTAAACAGAGGTAGGTCAGGAAGCACAGACCGTCTGACTACAGCTGATTAGATTACGTACAAAATACAATAAAAATCAGAAAAAACACATTTCAGCAAAAAAATTTTAAAAAATTGAAAAATCCCTTATAAGAAAAAAATCTGCATTTTCATTTACCGCTTCCTTGGATTGAAGATTATTAGTTTAAAACTTTTACTGCAAACATTGTAAATGAATGAATATTGTTATCTACCCCAGAACTAAAAAAAAAAATAGAAATATATCCTGGCCGTATGGGAGTTCAGACATATAAACTTAAGCAGCCATGGACGAAGTACTCAAAGTAGTACTTAAGTAAAAGTATTGATACTCATAGTCAAATCTTACTCCATTCAGTTTATCCAATTCACATCATGTTTTCTATCTAGGGAAAACCAGCTGATTGCATCGACTCATTGACTCTTCAGCAATCCCTCA